GGACTCTGAGGGCAGGGCCGCGTCCTAACGCAGAGCCGCTCTCCCGGAACCGGAGATCCACGTCTAATGAATGGCTGGGGGGACCCTGCTGTCCAGGAAAAAGAATCCTGGCGGGGTATCCCTTAGAGCAGAGGAGGGGGAAAGATCGATCCCTCTTTCTAAACGGGAGACCGTCAAGGGCAAGGTGCGCAGCGCGGGGTGGGAATGGGAGGGTCAGAGACGAACCTGCTTTCCAAAGTGTGTGGATGCCCGACCTCTGTCCGGCAAGATGGGAATCTCCGGTGTTGGGCCACAAAGCTCTGTCTTGCTTATCCTTTTTTAAAGTTTAACCCCAATTCCTGCAGCGAAGGTGCAGTGATCAAGGCAGTAGGTGACACCAGTCTATGAGAGAGACATACAACAGATGACCCAAGCAAGATTTTAAGTGTTTTTGAGAGTCTTGAGCACTGGGTCAAATCAAGCAAAACAAAATATAACTTGTACTGAATGTCAAGATCCGCGCGCAAAGTTTCCAAAATCTCGGCCATGCTTGTAGAACATCAGCTGACAGTGACCTTGGCCAATGTGATGGGAGGGGAGCTGGGAGGCTTGTGGGGAGATGGCGGCTTCCACCTTAGGCAGGATGAGCAGAGGAAGCCCCTGCCACAGTGAGCCTCTCTGAGCTCAGTTTCCCTGCTGAGTGGAGTGATTAGATGATCAATGATCTTTAACAACTCTGCCAGCCCTGTCAGTTCTCATGGTCCTGTTTATTGAGGTGCACAGCCCAGTGTGGCGAGCTGGGGCCTAGAGTCAAGTCATGGAAATCGTGAACCCTGGGCATGAAATGGGGATGCTGACCACTATCTCACAGGATTTTTGTGCAGAGTGATTGCAAATGCCTAGCAGGCGCCGTGCGATGTTCACACAGCAGGCAGGACCAGTGGTGTGCTGGTGTTTTACATGCTTTCAGGGTGTGGATGGGTGTCCGATTGTTATCATTTCCCAATTTCTGTGCTGTAAATACTCCCACCATGGCTGATCTCAAGATGATAATGTGGCATCATCCCCAGTCTCCTGAGTTAGGAAGAGATTTGCTCGATCGGTTCTGCAAGCCAGTCAGAGCTGACGCCAGCATACCACTTTTAAGACCTTGAACCAGGCTCGGTGAGGCTCAGGGGGGGGGGCAAGCTAAACCAGTGTGAGTCAGGGAAGAGGAAGAGCCCCCCAGCAGGCCCCACCACACCCAATGGGCACCAGAGAGCGGGCAGGTGAAGAGCAAGCAGATCCAGCAGCCCCTCCCGTCCTCATGCCCACGGCACATGCCATTATGCACCAGCATGTGCCTGGAGAAGGTGGGGGATGAGGGGGCAGCATATTCTCCCAAAGTGACACATTCTCGACATTTCATATAAGTTGCATGTGGACACCTGTCGGTTAAGGCTATGATGCAGGGGTTGGAGGAAAAGCACCAAGATGGGATGGAGAGGTGAGTGGCTATATCTAGAGATATACATACAGCAACTATCCAGATGGCTGTTCTTGAGCCCTTACCAGCCAATGGCATGGACTCCAGCCTTGGCTCCTTCCTCCTGATGTTAGAACTGTGTGGGTCTCTGGGGTGACTCCTGACTTGCCCACGAAGGCATCAGAGTTCTGCTTCTGCCGCCCCGCTCCTCCGATGCCGGGGCTTCAAAGAATTGCCCAGGTGGCAACTCCTACTGCTGATCATAATTCCAGCAGCAGCTCCCACGTACCGTGTGTGTGTGTGTGTGTGTGTGTGTGTGTGTGTTTGCACGTGCGCGCGTGTCCCAGGCGTGGCACGTGGTCTCACTGAAACCTCCCACCTGTTGCAAGGTCAGGGCAATCATGATCCCTATTGCAGATGAGGAAACTGGAGGCTCAGAGAGGTTAAGTAGCTGGTGAGGGTGACCTAGCTGTAAGTAGAGGACCCAGGAGTTGAGCCCAGGCCCAGCAGAACTGTCACACTTGTTGTGGCCCACGGTTGGCTGTGGCTGGCTGAGGACTGCCTAGGCACAGCCTGACTCACACTGGCCTTTGCATAATTCATCCTTACGGAGCATCATGTACCTCCAAAGGGGCTGCGGCCTGGAGTGGGAGATGTTGGTGAAGGCATATCATCTCCACAGTGGGGGGCTGTGGAGTCCCCGAGGAAGCACATGAGGGGCGGCCCTCAGGACTTAGAGCCTTGTGCCATCGGCAATTAGTTGCTCCCACGTCCTGTGAGCCTGACTTCTCTCCGTATGTCCAGGGGCGGGCACAGGACCCAGCACATAGTGGGTGCTCAGGAAATGTGTGTTGTTGCCAGCTTACAACCTGTCTCTGGTCTTTGTGTGGGGCTGCAGAGATAGAAAGTGTCATACTGACAAAATGCATGCTCACAGCATCCCCTCCCAAGCTCAGACACACGCTCCATCACACACACACACACACACACACACACGCAATCACACACCTACAACTTTGACACTCTACGACACAAGTCCAGGCATTCAGTGACACACAGACTCCCCTGCACCTCCCCCACGGATGTCTAAATTCCTAGGCAGACCCACAGCTGCTCCTGGACCCACAGGTTCACACAGGTATGCGGGAGAAGAATTCTTAGCCACATGCAGCTACCTGTCTCCATTAACCAGCCCAAGGCAGCCACGCTCAGGGATGGAGTCCTCCCCTCCCCCTCCATGTACACACACACACACACACACACACACACAGTTTGGAGGGCACAAGCATGTGCCTGAATGGTTTGCAAAGGCTGCACAAATCCAGTTCCCGGGTCTCTCCAGACCTTCCTCCTCCCCCTGAAGCCTGTCCTCAGATCAGGCTGCCCTGCCTGATTCTAACCCTCAGGAAGCATCCAGCTTTGTCTGGCCCCAGGTACCCCAGGACTCCAAGCTCCAGCTCAACCCAGGCCCCAGACAGAGCCCAGCAATCAAAAAATCTCCCAAGCTAACCACCAGGCCATGAGCAAGTGGAAATGAGGAATTCCAGGCTGGCTATCTCCCTCTGATCGCCCTCAAAGCTGCACAGAAAATGGACTCAACCTGACAGCAAGTGGGGCAGGCGATGGCCCAGCAGCTGTGAGGGAAGGCACCAGTGCCCGGGCTGGTCCAAGGCAAGGCTGCTCAGGAAAGCTGGTCCTGGGGAGGCTCGCCTGCCCTCCCCACCTCCTTGTGACCCAGCCTTCTTTGCTGGGGCCTTGCTATGACTACTTCTGTTCTGACCACTCCCATCCGTCCTACCTCTGCACATTTGAACCAGACTTGACCCTCGCTTGCATTATTTGACTCTGGGGCATTGTGCGGTAATATGCTGGGCATCCATCACTGTCCTCACTATTCGGATACAACCCTAAAGGCCAGAAAGGTGAGTAACTTCTTCAGTGTCATAGAACTCACTGGCAGTTGATGGTTGGGGATTTGATTTTTTCAGAACATCAGACTGAGATGGGACTGAAACTCAGTGGGCAGAGTGGGTTAACAAATGCCTCGCACAGGAGACTCAGGGCTATGTGTGAAAAGAACAACAACAACAAAAAAGACAGTGGAGAGAGACACCAAAATGTTAAAAAAAAAAAAATAGTGGATGCCTTGGAGGTTGAAAATCTGGGTAGAAAATGTTTTAATCTTCTTTGTATTTTCAAATTTTTCTATTACAAGCATGCTTAACATTTATAATGAAAATTCCCTAAAAGGGGGAGAGGACAAATACCCAGAATAATATCTAATGAGATGACTTTAAACATTGTCAGGAAAGATATTTGGGAGGGGGAGAGGGAAACATTCTGGATACCCTCCTATGGCACCCCTCCATCTACACTTCTGTAGGAAGTGCCCCTGTTCTCTCTTGGGGAGCTCACTCCAGAGTTGGCAGATCTCCCCAACCCATGGCTATTCCAGTTCAAAGCCCTCTTGCCTTGATTCCTCTCTCCCTTCCTCACCTTCCTCATTCCAGAACAACACCCTGAGTAAAAACTGTGTTGTGTAGAGGAAGGTATGACCCTCCCTTGTCCCCTGCCTGCATGAGGCTCTTCTCCAGCCCTTGATACAGCAGTATCTTTGAGCTTAGCCAAGGAAGACTGAACGCAGAGGGGTGCCCTTTAGCACCCCTCCACCCAGTCACGCTTCCCTTGCCAAGGCCAGCAGGTTTCCCGCTGTGGAGCACCACCCCTGCTGGAAGCCTTGCCTACCTTGACTGACCACTCCTGGCTCTGCTCACTCACCACTTTGGACCTCAAGACTTGACTGGCACAACTTAATTTTATGCTAGTGATTATGTTAATGCACACTGTCTCTGAGTTTGGGGGATGTTACGTACCCCTGCTATGTGTA